CAGAGTGGTGGGCCAACAATACCTATGCAGCAGCCCCATGGCAAACAGAGAAATCAGCCCCTGCAAAGCGCATGTGCCCTTACCTGTATTTGCAGCTTACTTAACTGAAGCTGCACGTGGTGGGCTGAATATAATCGGAAGCCATTCTGACAGGTGATGCTGATGATTGGCAGGACTCATCGTCTTGTCAAGTTGGGCATTTTGCACTGTTTACGAGAGTCCAGGGGATGAAAAGCAGGCCAGTGCTGAGAAGTAAAATCCTGGAAGAACAAGTGTGTGTAGAGATGATAAATAAGATGTTAAGCCTTATTGGGCCTATTTGGGCTATAATAACTCACCAGAAGAAAGGGATTTGTTTTGGCTTTCCAAGGTCAGAACTCTTTGTCTGACTTTTTAGCCCTGAGTCCCTGGGTGGTGCAAACAGTGAACGTGCTCAGCTGCTAACCAAAGGGTAGGAGGTTCAAGTCTACTCAGAGGTACTTGGAAGAAAGGCCTGGAGATCTACTTCCAAAAAAATCAGTCATTGAAAACCCTATGAAGTGCATTTCTACTCTGATAAACATATGGGATTGTCATGAGTCAGAATCTACTTGACAGCAACTGATTTTTGGGGGGAGAACATTTGGGTGCCCAGGAGCCTGTGAGTGGAATGTTCTTCAAGCTTCATGAGAGGACTGAAGGGTCAGTGGTTGCTTCGGACCTCCAGGGAAGATGCCCATGTGCTTGGAACTTACTCTGAAAGTCATAAATGAGTGTGATAAAGCTATCACTGTGCCTTTCCAAGAACACTTTAGGGGCTCCCCTTTTGTTAGTCAATGTAAAGTCTTCCTTTCTAGAGGGGAAACAAAACCTTTTAGAAAGAAACAAGGGGTTTTTGAGTTTTTTTCACATGGAAGAAAGTCTATAGCTGACTATTTTCCTTTCCTTTGACCTTTTTTAAAAAGCAGCTTGAGTTGCAACAGCTCTGCTGTAATTCTTTATGGCCTTCTGCTTTGAGGACTTTGAAACTAGCATTGTTGATTTTTCCTTTTTCCTGTCAATCCTCTGTCCTGTTTCCCTAGTGTTTTATATTCGCTGTCTGGATGATTTCAAATACAGTAGCTCTTAGTATAGAAGCCCTTTTGACTTTCCCTGTGGCCTAAGCTATAGGTATATTTTCTTTCTGAAAATAAGTAAACACAATTTAGAGCAGAAGCAGATTGCTTTGTTGTCAGCAGAGCGGGGAACTCCACAAGCCCCAGAAGTGCCACAACCTCTGCTGTGCAAACAAGGCTCTTGCCTGGTGTTGAAACATCCGTGTCTCTAACAGACAGACCTCTGTGTTATTTAGGCTCCGTCCAGGATCTGAGTGTCTGTTTGTTATCCACAGAGTATAAAAGAGAAATCAAACATTCTTTCATATCATTATAAGCCCTGTGCAAACACAGCCCCATGGACAAAGCCCTTTCCCGGGCCCATAACAAGGGGCTGTTTGTCCTGGCTCCTGTCTTTAGCAGTTGGAGTCAGGCTGAACTGAGAGTGGTGTAATGTGCCCTGTTGCGATTTTGCTTTCTTTGGCCAAAATTTTACAGGTGTCATGGGGCAGAGTTCACCATGTGGAAGTTGCATCAGAGCACCCATTGGGAGGCTTCAGCAAATGCCACATCAAGCACGCTCATAGTGATGAAGTGATCTGACAGAGAAGTTGCACCCAGCCACAGAAAAGTCAGATGATCATTTAGTATGTTTGCCTTTGTGCATGTGGATTAACTAGTAAAAAATGCCAGGATCTGGACTCATGTCTGCCTGCATCTGATGCAACCAAGGAAAAGCCTTAGCTTAGGTTAAAATGTCTGTATCATCACTCCCTTGAAGAACACAGATTTAACACTGCAGCAATCTGAGCAGCATACAAATGCTGAAGAGGGGTTGCTTTCACCCAGAAATATTTTGATTAGCTAACCCTAGATCTTCCATCTTTCTGGTTACTCAGGTTCACTCAAGTCCATTTGTTCGGTCTTCTAGAGCTGTGCTGTCCGGTACAGTAGTCACTAGCCACACGTGGCTGTTGAGCACTTGAAATGGGGCCAGTCTGAATTGTGATGTGCTGTGAGTGTAAAAGAAAAAATGTGCTTTGAATTTTGAAAATTGGACACCAAAATAAGTAAAAGATCTCACGAACAAGTTTTTACATTGATTACATGTTGAAAATATTTGTTATATATTGGGTTAAGTAAAATATATTATTAAAATTAATTTCACCTCTTTCTTTGTACTTATTAAAATATGGCTGCTAGAAAATTTTTAATTACATTTGTGGCTCACATTATATTGGTATTGGACAGCGCTGTGCTAGAGCTTAAAGGAAGTTTTTAGATTTATAGTGCCATCTGCTGGTCTACCTAAAACCAAACAAAAACCCGTTGTTATGAGTTGATTCCAACTCATAGCAACCCTATGGGACAGAGTAGAACTGCCCCATAGGGTTTACAAGGAGCAGCTGGTGGATTCGAACTGCCGACCTTCTGGTTAGCAGCCAGCTCTTAACCGCTACACCACCAGAGCTCCGATCTACCTAAAACAGACTCTAATATAAGCAATAATTAAGCAATCAGAGCTGGGAAACACTGTCTCTTGGCCTAGCAGCACATGATCTTCCTTTTTCCAGGAGCTTCTGAAACAGGACCAGAACTGAACTTTTTTTTTTTTTTAATTGTGCTTTAAGTGAAAGTTTACAGTTAAAGTTAGTTTCTCACACAAGAATTTATACACATATTGCTATGTGAACCTAGCTGCTCTCCCTGTAATGTGACAGCACACTCCTTTCCACCTCAGATTTCCCGTGTCCATTCAACCAGCTCCTATCCCTTTTTGCCTTCTCATCTCACCTCCAGACAGGAGCTGCCCATTTGGTCTCATGTATCTACTTGAACTAAGAGGCACTCTCTTCACGAGTACCATTTTATGTCCCATAGTCCAGTCTAATCTTTGTCTGAATTGTTGGCTTCGGGAATGGTTTTAGTTCTGGACTAACAGAGAGTCTGGGGGCCATGTCTTCCGAGGTTCCTCCAGTCTCAGTCAGACCTTTAAGTCTGGTCGTTTTACTAGAATTTGAGTTCTGCACCCCACTTTTCTCCTGTTCCATCAGAAAACTGAACCCTTTTATTACCTAGCCTCAGAAGTCACTTCATTGTCAGCAAGAGCCTTGGAAAGAGTAGAGACAACCCGCTGGAAGGTGCAGGCCTGTGTTCGGTTCAGCAGTTGATTCCATTTCTCACCTTCTGTGCTAGTGGCTGTTACATGTGCTCATTTTCATCAGCTGCTAGTCTTTAATATTTCTAACATGCCACATGTTTGTAAACCAAGTATTTAACAGAATATAGGAAGGACGCAGATCCATCCCTGTAGAGATTATGTTCTCTCTTTGGATAATGTGGATTTGCATTGATTTGTCAAGAGTTTAAAAGTAGGAATCTTCCTGAGAGTAAATAAAAACCCAAAATCCATTGCCATCAAGTCAATTCCAACTCAGAGCAACCCTATATGACAGAGTAGAACTGCCCTATAGAGTTTCCAAGGAGCACCTGGTAGATTTGAACTGCCAAACTTTTGGTTAGCAGCCATAGCGCTTAACCACTACCAAGGTAAATAGTACCCACATTTTTTATCTATTAATACATAACAAATAACCCCAAAACTTTAGTGGCTTAAAACAACAATAATCGTTTAACATCTCTCAGTTTCTATGAGTCGGGAATTTGGGGATTACCTGTCTGGGCAGTTCTGGTGTGGGATCTCTCATGAAATTGAAGTCAGATATTGACTAGGGCTACAGTCATCTGAAAGTTTGACTGGGGCTGGAGAATCCACTTCCAAAGCAGCTCATTTACATGGCTTGCAAGTTGCTGCTGGTTGTTGGCTGGGGTTGTCAGTTCCTCTCCACATGGGCCTCTCCAAAGGGCTGCTTGAGTGTCCTCAAGGCATGGCAGCTTATTTCTCCAGAGTGAACAATCTGAGATGTCAAAGAGGAAGCTGCAGGCATTTTATTACCTAGCCTCAAAAGTTACACACCACTACTTCTGTTGCATTCTATTGGTCCAGAAACAGTAACGTGTACCTCATCTCTTGATGGAGGAATGTCAATATCATGTTGTAAAAGAATGTGTGAGATGAGGTGGCCATTTTTGGAAAACACAATCTGCCATAACTTCTAACACTTACATAGAACTGGAAAACCTTGGTGGCATAGTGGTTTAGAGTTATGGCTAACCAAAAGGTTGGCAGTTCGAATCCACCAAGCACTCCTTGGAAACTCTATGAGACAGTTCTAATGTGTCCTATAGGGTCTCTATGAGTTGGAATTGACTCAACAGCAACGGGTATATGGAACTGCAGACCAAAAAGATTGCCCCATTTTGCAGAGAAGAAAATTGAGCCTCAGAGAGGTAAAATATCTTGCCTGAGGCCTCATGTCTGGTAGAAGGACCAAAGCTCAGTTCTTCTGACTCCCAGCCCATGCTGGTGTAGTCTATTAAAGCTGATCTCCATATATCTCCCTTACACTGTTGTAACTAGGAATCATCTTGATTGTTTTATCTTTCCAGCATCGTCAAGATATGGGATGTTCCCTTCATTCAAGTCTATAACTTGTAATTTTATTTAATTGAGGCCATATGTCTTCTGGAACTAAGTTTCAAGTAAATATAGGACCAGACTCCTTGTTACAAAATTGCTACAGCAATGAAAAATTACTCATTTTCCAGTATTTTCCATGCCATTTGCTTCAGAGATCTCAAGAATGATAGCACATTGTGATACGTGTATTCATGTTTTGTTTGATTATTCAAATGTTACATCTTATTTATGTTTGAAAGAAGTAATCATTGCTTGCCTTCAGTGGTTTCCATATTGCTTGATCTTCTTTAAAAAAAGAAATTTTAGCATTTTTTTGATGTTCCACCTGCCAGAATTAAAACTATAACCCAGCTGTCATAGTCATAGTCTGTTATTCTTGGTTTCAGGTCAAACTTCCTTTTCCTGTAGATCAAATCACAGATCTTCCAAGGAACGATTTCCAGATGATGATTAAGATGCACAAGCTAAGCTCAGAACAGTTAGAGTTCATTCACGATGTCCGACGGCGCAGCAAGAACCGCATCGCGGCCCAGCGCTGCCGAAAGAGAAAACTGGACTGTATTCAGAATTTAGAATGTGAAATCCGTAAATTGGTGAGTTGACTAGCCTGTTGCAGCCAGCAAACTGAAGTGACCAGGTCTAATGTAAAGTTACTATAGTGAAAGCTGTAGACGTAGACAGAAGGGTCACCCTTCAGGGAAGTTTGGGTTTCTTTTTAAACAACTTCCTCAACAGCAGTAATAGCTTTATGTCTGCAAATGCCTGTGTGTACAGGTGTGTAATAGTATGTCAATATTTTCTACTCTTCAGCCATACATATCGAAGCACTCCTTTTTTTTAATTTTCCAATCCATGGGTTATAATAGCTAACCACGTATGAATGCATGCATATATGGACCAGGCATTATTCTGAACTGTTTTTGTGGGTCATCACATTTAACCCTTACATTAACCTTATGAGGTAGATACCATTTTATTCCGCTTTACAGAGGAGGAAACTACAGTGCACAGAGATTAATAATTTCCTAGTATGTGGTGGAGCTTGAATGCAAACCCAGTTGATTCCATATCCTGTGTTTTTTACCTCTGCTTTCTCCTGCCTTTCAGCAGAAGAGTGTAAGGTAGAGATTGGACACATTATTACTGCAAGGCAGGGACCCAGCCACATGATCTTCTAAAGCTCTTTGCAGCCCCAGGGTCCCTGATTTTGCCACTCCTCCTCAAATTGGCTTTCATCTCTTCCCATGTCTGGGAGTGTTTTGTCTCAGGGAGCAAGCTCCCAACTCCCAAACTCCTTCGTACTGGGGGCTCTTCACCTTGATAAGCGACCTTGAGCTACAGGAAGTAAATCCAGGTAGTCTCTGGCTCCACACTGTACTGTTGAAGGTAACCACCTCCACCTCATTCAGCTCGACCTTTCTGCTGACCAAATACTGGAAAGCAACCTCAGGTGCCATGTCTGTGTCAAGCTGAAGAAGAGGAAGACCGCATAACGCAATTATAATCTAAGCCTGGGTCCTCAGACTATTTGCAGGAATCCTTTGCCTCATGGTAAGCCTCCGTCCCAATTAGAACCTAAGAGCAAAGATTAGACGTTTGAAAAGCACAAGAAAATGGTACACATTAATCAAGATAGTCCTGGACCTTGGGGTCTTTTTTTATTTAAAAAATTTTTTTTTTTTTTTTAACACCAACCAAGCAGAGAAAATCTGCCCATGCTCAGTGGCTCCCATTACCTACAAAATAAAACCCAAGCTCCTTAACGAGACATATCATGTCCTCCATGATTCAGTCTGTAGCTACCCCTCCAGTACCACCTTCCCCTTCCCTCCCCTAATAGAATCAAACTGCCTGAAGCAACAACCTGATCTGCTGTTTCATACTGTGATTGTGCCTGTGTTGTTTCCTCCGTCTTTTTCTCTCCCAACTATCTCTTTTAAGAGTCAGCTCAAATGTCACCTCTCCAGGAATCCTGCCTTCCCTGAGTCTCTGGGTTTGGCTGAGCACCTGCCCTTGAAACCCTGTCCTGACCTCTGGCTTAGTGCTTAGCACATTCCAACTGCAGACAAGTCAATTTCGACTCATAGCGACCCTGTAGGACACAGTAGAACTGCCCCATAGGGTTTCCTAGGCTATAATCTTTACAGAAGCAGATTACCAGGTCTTTTCTCCCACAGAGCGACTAGTGGCTTCAAACAGCCGACCTTTCGGTTAGCAGCTGAGCGCTTAACCACTGCACCACCAGGGCTCCTTAGTCTTGAATTATCTGTTTATGTGTCCGCCTCCCTTCTACTCCCATCCCTAAACTATAGGTTCCTCAAGGACAATGACAGAGTCTTGATCATCTCTGAACCTCCAGTGTCCATTGTAGACTCTTAGGAAATGTCTGTTGCCCTAAAATTTACTGGAAATTGTGATTATTTTGGTGATGGGTTATGAATTTCTTTTTTTCTTCCAAATTTTTCTTGAATGTTGTTTTCACAGCAACAAATTAACATAAGCCTCATAATAAAGTAACACATTCCTGCTGGTGGGGGTGGGTCTTCTGAAAGCCTGCTGGGCTTGGGTAGGGAACCAGGCAAGGCTGAGCCAAGCACCAGGTGAGAGTCTTCAGGGTCTTAACACTCTTCTAGTGGTAATTACTGTCCTGGCGCTCCTCTTCAGGTGGTAGAATAACTCTAATCGCTCATGTTTTCTGCAGAAATAGGAAGCACTGTTGCACATCGCTCCCCATTGCTTTCCCCCTAGAAAGTGGCCCCGAACATTTTACAGATGAGTAGGCGTGGAGGGATTGGTGCCTTGGCTAAGGTGATGTGGCAGTTGAGTCTGGGATTCCTCTCCTGGTGCTAAGGGATGTTGCCCCCTACTTTGCAGATTGCCAAGTTACAGTTAGAGTGGTCCAGAGTGCATAGCCACATGTGTAAGATTTTTTCCCAAGGAGACCGCCCAGTATGTGTTTTGTTTCTTATCCGCCACCCCCAGGAGGGTGCTGTGTACACACTCCTGCTTTGAGTGGCAGGGATGGTGCTGGAAGGCAAGGGCAGCTTCCGCCTCCACCAGGCAAGGTCCCCGCCCCACACAGAGTCCTCAGGGTCCCACCCTAACAGCCCGCAGGGTCCTGCCCTGCACAGCTTTAAGGGTCCCACTCCACACAGACCACAGGGTTCCGCCCTGCACAGCCCACAGGGTCCCACTCTACACAGACCACAGGGTTCTGCCCCACACAGCCCACAGGGTCTTGCCTGGGACAATCCTCAGAGTCACTCTACACACAGTTTGTAGGGTCCTGCCCTACACAGCCGGCAGCATACCATCTCCCCACTCCCACTCAGTCTAGTGCATGCCACTCAGCTTTTGCAAACTTGCATAATGTATTTCTCTCAAGTTGCACTTGTACATCTGTTTATTTTTCATTTTTAAAACATGTTTTCTTGATCAATTTATAAATATTTTAGCAGGTGCCCTTTCCCATGTAAATCTCTCTCTCAGACACACATGCCCATACCGCCTGCCAGATTGCATTTGCTTCACTGCACGTGCAGCTCCCGTGTGGGAGACCCAGCCTTTCTGCATGTCTGTGTGCTTGCTCCTCTCTCCCATCTTCTCCTCACCCCTCCAGCCCACCCTTGCTCATGCTGCTTCAGATGTCCAGTTTCTCCATCCATTTCATCGCATGGAACCTCCCCATCTCTTCACTTGACTTAAATATGGATGGTACGGACTGGTTTTAGCTCAGCAGTTTCTTCGATCTACTTACCAAAACCTTTAATTAATCTCCTCTCTAGTGGCTACATTCATCTCTGGGATGGGGTGATGAGTTTTAGTAACACAAGCATATGTGGGATTTGTTTAAGAGAGAAAAAGTCTGATACCTTGGGTTAGTATAAGGGCTCAGTCTCCACACCTCTGCCTGCCCTTCCTCTGTCCAGAGAGAATCGGTGCACAGGAGTTGACTGTCCTAAAGAGAATCCATCATGTGCAGTCTGCTCTGCTGCAAAGGTGAAAGAGTCTGCTAGTGTTAACTCAAATCCTGTGGAACTGATAATGGTCAATTACTTTTGACCTTCAAAAATGGCAGCTTAGCAGATTTTCAGCCGCAGGGTTTGGGACTGAGAGGTTTCCAGTTGATTCTCTGCAAACCCCAAATTCCAGAAAACCAGAATGTGAAGACTCTGCAGTTTTTTGGTCAGTGGTGAATTTTCTGGTCACTTGTCCAGGCCTGAGCGGGAGGGATAAAGAGATGCCATCGGGAGGGTGTCGAGATCAGCAGCACATCCACATGGGCTACTCAGATGGGAGACTTGGCAGAAGGATGTATCCAGGCTTCATATATAAACATATATATATATATATATATATATATATAAACCACACCAGTTGCCTTTGAGTCTACTTTGAGTCTATTCTGATTCTATAGGACAGAGTAGAGGAGCAGCTAATGGATTCCAACTGCTGACGTTTTGATTAGCAGCTGAGCTCTTAACCACTGCGCCACCAGTTTTGTTTAGTTTTTTTAATTTCTAGGTCCTGACCTAGTCATTCATGAGTTACATTATAATGTGGGATGCAAAACAAATGTTAGAAAAGCCCCAGAAACAAGGTCTTGGGTCCTCCAGTTCGGCCCTATCCATCCTTCTCTTTTGTCTCTGTTGTCCAGGTGTGTGAGAAGGAGAAACTGTTGTCAGAGAGGAATCAACTGAAAGCATGCATGGGGGAACTGCTGGACAACTTTTCCTGCCTTTCCCAGGAAGTCTGCCGAGATATCCAGAGCCCCGAGCAGATCCAGGCCCTGCACCGGTATTGCCCTGTCCTGAGACCCGTGGATCTCCCCACTGCCTCCAGTATTAACCCTGCGCCCTTAGGCGTTGAGCAGAACCTTGCAGCCTCGCAGTGTGCGATGGGGGAAAACGTGGCCTGCTGCCTGGAGCAGGGTGCAGCGCCCCCTGCTGTCCCATGGGTACCCAGCAATGCCTCAGAGAATTGTACCTCTGGAAGGAGGCTGGAAGGCCCTGAACCAGGGACTTTCTCAGAGAGAGCTCCTCCTCTTGAACCCAGGGGCCAAACGGTGACCGTGGACTTCTGCCAGGAAATGACTGATAAATGTACAACTGACGAACAGCCCAGAAAAGACTACACCTAGTGACTCAGACCTGCCCTGCAATTCTCACGCCTCTCCCACCCAGGTGTTCTTCCATCAGCCTGGGCGCTGTTCATCTGTTGTCCCGAAGAACGAAGAACCATTTGGTGCACACTACAGCAGTCTTAGCAGCAATACTGTTTCTAAGTATTCCTTCCTCTCTTCAAGCAGGAGTGATGTATAGTTACCTTTACAATGGTGCTACCCCTTGCTCAGGCAAGGAAAGACAGCGGTGGCCACACTGTCTGTCTGTGGGTTAATTTCAGTCTTAACAGGGATAGACTAGAACACCTCTAGGACCCAACCACGGATGTTTTTTTCTCAGTGGCCCATGTCACAAACCCTATCTCAGGAATTTCTTCTGAATGTTCAATTTTTTTCATTGAAGACAGCTTCTATACACATCAAAGTTTTATAGCTAGACTGTACATATTATATATAATATATATAAAATATATATATATATATCTCCATATGCAAAAGTCCTGCATGCCTCAATTTTCTCATCCTAAAACTGGAAACTTCATTTCTCATTTATAAACAGGTTCCAACATTCCTCTTCTTTTGTCTTTGATGCTAGAACTAGTTTGGTAACTGTTAACAAGGTCATTTTTTCTTGCTTCACAGTTGAATTTCAATTTGTACTTATTTATGGACAAAATTCAATGTTGGAAACATTTTGGGGGAGCGGAGTTTTATTTCAGACCTTTTTTGTTTGGTTTGGTTTAGGCACCACCAAATGGTGTCTGTCATTTGAGCATCATGGGTTGGGTTTTTTTGTTGATTTTCTTGCAGATACTGTACAGTAATGGTCAACTTTGCCACTTGCACTGAGTTTTGGGTCAAACCTATTTTCTTAAATGAAGTTGTGACTTCAGTATAACTCAAGTATACTGTATACTCTTTGCTTTTAGTTAAAAAGTGAAACGTTTTTAGCTAATTAAAAGCACTCAGGTGATAATTATGTAGGAAAAAACAATCTTGCCAAATAATGAATTCATCCTATGATGTATAGACAATAATCTGCTTGAATATTTTTATATTTCACCTCCTCTCCACCTTTCCCTAAGAAAGTTTAAATGCAGACAAGTTCAGCGTTGATGCTAGATGTTCAGATTCCTAAGTGGGGAGAGAATTTGAACATCTCACTCAAAAGTGCATCAGCAGAGCAGGAATCCATGATTTTATACCAGAATTCAGCAGGCATTGGCCCCTAGAAATCAAGTTAGAACTGTTTTCTCACCCAGGGAGTCAGTCCCATTCATTTCAACACTTTGTCAGGCCACTGCTTGCTCTTGGAAGTGTTGTGCAGTAGGACCTTCTTTGAAGGACTTGACTGACCAGCCACTCAGCTTCCCTGCCCAGGATCAACCTCCCAGGACACGTCACCTTGGAGATTTTGAATCGAGGTTCCTCAGATCCTGCCTTTAAGTGGTGGTCGCGGGTTGGTACAGCTTGCCCAGAGTAGGAGAGAGTAGGGCAGGTGCAAGCCTGAAGTCTGTCCCTGACACATGCAAAAGCGTTTTTTTGTCTCCCTTCCTTCTGCAAATGTTTTGAGTTGAATTCTGCGGTTTCTCCCCTGGTCTCTTGCCTGAAGGCTGATTTCATTCTGAGGCTTTGGACAAGATATGCCAGGAACCCTCTTACCCCCTTCCCCACATACACACACCTACCCTCACCTTTTGGTAACTTTCTTCTCTTGCTGCAATACTGGTTGCCTTGCAACCCACCGAGAGCAGCTTCCCTTGATTCCGGGGTGTGTTTACAGCAAGGTGTGCCCCGGGATTCTGCAGCAGGGAAGGAGGATTCAGCTCCCTCCCTCCAGTGGTCTGTCTGGCTGAGCAGCCCATGGGCCCCTCCAGCCTGGCTGTGCAGGAGTCTTGAACAGTTTGATGTGGGGATGGGGTGGTGGGTAGTGGGGATTAGATGGTTGACTTTGTTTCTTTATTTGTGCCATTGTTTTTGTTTGGGCAATATTAAAGCTGCATGTAAAAAGAGGGGAAATTAGTATATGATGTAGGCAAGAAGTGAAATCATAGTAACATATGTTTTAGTATTATTAACTTTTTTCTGTACAAAATATAAGCGCTAAATGTTTAAATAGGTGTGAATGCCAGAAATTTGTTGGTTCATGCGATAGGATTTTTTTTTAAAAAAAGGCTTTTCTTTGAAAATGGTTCCACTTTTAAAACCTGCCTCTGGGTTTTTGTTTTTCCTCGTGTGTGTATGTGTGCGCATGCGTGCTTGTCTGAGACAGATTTTGATAAAGCTCTGTGTTCAAGATGACGTGTTTATTACGGATGTGGAATGTCTTGGCCTAGTAGAGCAGTTCTGGGCTTCACCATAAGGTTTGCCTTTGTGGAAAACTGGTGACAGCTGGAATTTAAAATTCAATGTGAATCACATGATACTTCACAGGCTTGTGTTATGGTGGAGGAGTCAGCCAACAGTATTTTGTTTTTTAACTATTTTGTTGCCTTTTTTAAGTGACCTCTCCTCTCCTTCTTTACAGAAGAATGTTTTCTGCTCTTACGCTAACCAGGTCCAAACCAGCTTCCTGGGCATGCTTTGCCCTGGTAACAACTCATGTGCAACTGGTAGTCTTGACCACATTCCGTCCATTTCCTCTAGTTTCTGTTGTTCAATCCGCACAGACCTTGTGCTGCCGCAATTTCCGAGTGGGGCGGGACCTCTTTATTTCTCTCCACCCTAGCTCAGCCCACATCCTCCTGCCACCAACCCTTGCCTCGCTTTTCTTCCTCATGCCCAACCACACCCGTGCTGTGGGAACTGGTTAAAAACACTGCTCTTAAAAAAAACTGTCTTTCAAGTTCTTAAAGGTGTTTTAAAAGTTATTATTTCATGCATTATTCACCATGAACAGTGACTGGCTTTGTGCAATTGCTTATGTGACATGTCTGTGTCTTTTACCACTTGGAACCATGTGCTTGTCAGAATTATCTCTGGGCTGATTCAAAGGGATGACCAGCTGGGGGCCAGGATCCAAATTGCCTCAAGTAGGATGTAAAAATCCAGCCTATCTCCTTTCCCTGGGATCCCTTAGTCAACCCCATGTCTTTTATGAAAAGGAAAAGCAAGTTAACAGCAAAGAATAATGTTTGCACAGAACAGTGACATTTAGTTGTGCTTTTAAGGGTCCTTCATTACAAAATGAGCCCTGGTGGCGCAGTGGTTAAGAGCTATGTCTGCAAACCCAAAGGTCGACAGTTGAAATCCACCAGCCGCTCCTCAGAAACCCTGTGGGACAGTTCTACTGTGTCCTATAGGGTCCCTATGAGTCAGAATCAACTCAATAGCAACAGGTTTTTTTTGGTTTTCCATATGAAGTAGAGGACCCTGTAACTGTGGACTTCTTAGGGGGATCCCGGTGACAGCAGAGACAGTGGAGGTGGCTCTGTGAGTAGTTAACATCCCACCTGAATGCTGTCCTCCCCTTGGATCTGCCTTTGTTCTACTTGTGTTTCCAGACATCTTCACTTCATTCAGGTTTGTCAGGCTTTGGGCAGGTGAGTGCTTTGCTGTGTGTTTGTTTCTTTGTGTTATCTGGGGGTGCCTTGAATAAAATCAAACTTTGTTACATACTGATTCTGGAACAAAATAGTTGCAAAAAGGCAAAAAAAAAAAAAAAAAAGGCTGACAAAGTGACTAGGCCATCCTGCTACTTCTCCTCCAGGTTCCCTAACAAACAATGACTCAGGCGTCAGAGGTGATGCTGCAGTATAAAATGGTATTTTGTATAATGTACAAGTAATTTATTAACTGTCTTTCTAAAGGTATGCTGCTTTTAAGATGCACTATAATTCTGGATTTAATCCTTGTATTGCTTTTCCAAGGAAGTAAAAAAAGGGTAGTGAATATGTATTCCAATTGCCACTTCTCCTTGAAAAGGGGAGCTGGGACTAGCTAGATGACTTCATGGGAGTGGCCAAAAGGTAAGCTTGCATAATGTGAAGTTTGGTGCTGTTGTCAAGAGGCCTAAACCTACACAATCTCTTTGAATACTTTAAATTGCCATTAGAAAAGAAGACAAAGAAGCAAAACAAGTCTTGAAAATTACAAGCCTTTTAAGAAACTGCAAAGACCTGCCCCTAGAAGCTACTTCACATCCTCCGGAGTGACATAATCCTCTCAGCATGAGTAAAAGCCTGCAAAATATTTTCAAATCCCTGTTTGGCTGCTTACTTCTATAGATTATATCCCATTTAAACTAGAAACGGTTTAATAAATAACTTCAAACTGCTCCACTATTGCTACAGTTTAGGAGACTCTTAGGTCTGCAAGGGAGCTAGAATCAAGTTTTGTTTTCAAAGCATTGTAAATAGACTAAGGGATGAGATTTTTGTTTTTAAGAATAAAGCTGTTCATTGTATCGTGAGTTAGTGTTTCTTTCCAAAATGGAGGATTCTTTTGTAGGTTCAATTTCTGGCAAGTCAGTCCACAGTGCAATGCCCTGTGTGGAGTTGGTATTCGTACAGGAAGTCTGTGTACCTAGAGGCGCTCTGTGTACAAGGTGTATGTTTATAATACTGCCCGAGCCATCTCCTGACCCAGGCATCAAACATTGATGCTGTAGAATGGAATATATTTGCACACACATGGTGTGTGCAAGTAGTATTTGTATATAGAAAAGACTGTTGTGGCAGATTGAGGATAAATTATTCAACCGACGGTGCAAAAACATTACTTGCAAAGAAAAATAAGTGTATAGTATTTTCCTACACTCCATCCTGGTAGATAATATTTATATCAAATGAGTATTAGTGCATTTTAATTGTAATATGAAAATGATGCTGCCACTTTGTGAAGAATATCCATTTGGTTGCAGAGGCCAACTTTTGTAGCTTTGATTTAATGTCGTGACATGGTGTGTGCATTTCGCTATCAAGCAATGGAGAAACAACTCTTTCATTTTCATTCCAGTTTATTGACCTCAGATGAAACAGTGGCCCTTCTTAGAAGCAGAAGTGCACCAAGACCATTCATTTCAGGTAGACTCACACTCAGTGCCAAATGCTCCCTTGGGGACAATGGGACATGTATATCAGGAAAGAGTGAAGGGACTTGGACAAAGAGGGTTCTTCCCACAGATTGATGCTAAGTCTACCAAAACATGTCTGAGGCCAGTGGGCGACCTCCACTTGAGTCCTAACAGAGTGCATTTTGCAGGAGAGAGCCCATTTGCGCTCTGACGTAAAAGCCCTGCCACTTCTACACATGATCAGGAAGATTCCAAATGCATTCGGGAGTTTTGGGTGCTTGTAGACACAGTGAGCCATTCAAGGCAAGCACCACCTTTGCTTTTGAGGCCAGGAGAGCCAATGAAAATTTGTTCCAGAACCAGTCGGATGCAAGTGCACCTCTAATATATGCCTTACAAACTCCAGAGGCCATATTCAAAACAGGGTCTTCTCAGTGTATGCAAGGGGCTGCAGCCCCTCTTCTCTTCCTCCCCAGGTTGAACAATACGGACAGTTTTCACACATATCTACCTGTATAACCCTCTGTACCTCTCATAACTGGTCAATGACTGTAACAGGTTACATCAGGTGTTTTTCTACATACTTTTTACACAGATTCTATGCGATTAATGTAACTTAATTCAATGCATCATTTTATTGTACTAGTTCTTAGGCTTATTGTTTTTTTTTCTAAGTGATTGTGGTTTTTCTTGTGGTTTTTATTGTAAAAATGAAATGGCTGTTGATGCTTATTCTCTGTAACTAAGAATTTTTACCTTTTTGGAAAAAAGCATTGCTATGAACTAATGAATGGAAACTTCATTTACTCATTGTAAATACACTATTGTGCAAAAAAAAAAAATTCACTCAATTGAATTGCTAGTGTTAACTGAATTTTGTCTAGACACCATTTCTGTTGATGAAATAAAGACAGATCATTATGCATTGTAAACTGATTTTCTCTGCCGCTGATCCCTGTGTTAACGAATTTCAGAGCCGGAAGCCTCAGGAAATCTTTTTGCCCAGAGAGGCAATTTCTCTTCCTCTAGTTTGGACCTCTGTCTGCTACCTGATTAATCTGATTAGAAGTCTTAAAAATTTGATAATGCTAATGTATTTCCTAAACTCTGAATTTCAAAATTCCCTAGTGCCTGTGAAAGTAGATAAAAGGCATTAAACCCCGGGTTTGATATCTCCCGGGTAAGATAGTGTAGTGTAGTTAAGCAGTGTGTTACTGTGGGGGACACTGGGTAGAGGATATTGTTTGCATGTAAATCTACAGTAATCTCAAAAAGCAAAAAAATTAAAAGGGGGAAAGGCATTAAATCAACAATAAGATACAGTGAGTTATACGGAAAAGAGTTTAGGATTGCAGTTAGGGAGTAAATCCAGTTAAGCCAGAAAAGCTTATTCAATAATTTGAGTATTGGATTTTGATGGGAGAGGAAAACAAGATATGAAATGGTGGGTAGGTTCAATGACCATGGGTAACCTCTGAGTTACTGGAACTCAAAGGCAAGAGAAAAGCCACTAGACAACAGAGGCAGAGCTGGGCCTTCTGGCCCGAGCGGTCAGTGAAGCCAGGAAGAATGCCAGCACCTGATGTCCTTGGGGCAGTGTGCTGCGAGGTCGAGACCTGTGCTTCAGAAAGTGCTTGGGTCAGTCACACTCTCAGCTGCTGAATTCCTCTCCGTCAGGCCAGTCTACCTGGGCACACTATTAGGCCAAGGAGAGTTTCCAGAGAACATTTAGTGGGATTAGCAAATGTGCACAGTTCTGAAAACATTACAGTCAGAACATTTTAGGTGTGAGAGGAAAAGGACATTCCTTTGCCTCAAGACGTGAAGTTATTAAACTCCTTCTGGGAAAAACAAGCGGGCCACAGTCTCAAAAATTCCTGTAGGAAAACCTCGTTAATTTGGGGGCTGGTAATTTGGAACGGATCATCATTTGGAACTTCTGACATTTTCTCTTGTGGCAGGAATGACAGTCATAGTTTGAAATAGAGTAAACCTACCAGCTGTTGTGTCCTGCAGAAAGGATGCCTTCCAGCTCTGTCCAGCAACACTTTGAGAGCAGCTGTTCTCTTTCACACCCTAAATGAGCTCATTCCAAGCAATTCATATGTACTTCCGGGCATGGTGAGGGTTTTCAGACTGGCTCCCTCTACTGAGTTCCTGCCGGTAGTTTTATTGGATGTATTTGGAAATAACTGAGCTGGAAGTCTTTAAGGAGTCCCTGGGTGGTGTAAACGGTTAACACGCCCAGCTGCTAACTGAAAGGTTGGCAGTTCGAGTCCCCCAGAGGTGCCTCGGGAAAAAAGACTACATCGAAAAAGATCAGCCATTGAAAACCCTATGGAGCACAGCTCTACTCTGACACACGTGGGGTCACCATGAGTTGGAGTCAACTCGACAGCAACTGGTTTTTCTCAGGGATCACTCAGGACCACTGGGCAGGGCACACCACTGATGATGAACAATCCCAGTGGAAGGATAAAATGAAACCATGCAATGACAGTGTTTCCCAGAGTTTTAATCAATATTTTATTTCATGGCATTTATGAACTACAAATCTGGCTGGCTCATCCCCAAGAAATGAACTGATGAGAGGAAGAAATGAAAAGTTTCTCATCAGCCTCTGCTTTGCAGACAAGAAGCATATCTGAGCCCAGGCTGATGGCAAAGCTCCCAGCCTACTCTGCCCACGGGTGGAGGGCCTGTGTTCAAGGCTCCAACTGCTGCTGTTGCCGCTGCAGTGCTGGGATGCTCTCAAAGTGTCTGCCTGGCTGCCGGGGCTGTGGAGGGCGGCCTGGAGGGGCAGTGAGAGACTGATTCCAGCCCCCATGAGAAAAAGGTCTCCTTTGGAGATGAGTCCAGCTGGGCGCACCCTGTACGCACCACAGCCCTTCACCTGGAAGATGTCTATGTGAAGAAACAGCTCTTCCAGCAGTTTGAGCTAACAGAGACTCACCTTTTCTCCTACAGCTGCCAGGCTGCTCCTGGCTCCAATTTTCTGGCCCCAAACAGGCATTATTTTTTCATGATGGATGAAAGTTCCAGAAGCATGTTCTGAAAGAGAACACCAAAAGGAAAAAAAAAAAGGGGACTCAAAAGCTTATAAAAATAAGCCCTGCCCACCCACCTGGGGCCTTCTGTATGCCACAAATACAGTGATCCAAACAAAACCTGCTGCAGAAGAGAATTCTCCTATGTTGCCCCCAAACACGAGGCGTTTCTGTGAAAGACCTGAATCACAACGGCCATCTCCTCCTCCTATTGTTGTTGTTTGGTCAAAAATCCAGGTCTAAAACTAAAAGGCTAAACTTCTCTTAAGTTCCATCTTAGGCCTCTTTACAATTAGCCAGGTTTTTGGCTTTGTATAATGTGGAAGAGAAAAACTGATCCAAATGTAGAATGTTCCATTTTTGTAATAATTTATCCCTGATCCTAAAAATATACTAAACTCAGGCTGCCTTGTGCAGTGAGAGCAGGGAGCAGCAATGGGATATTGGGTTGAGTTGGACAGGCTTGGGATCAAATTCCAACTTACCCATTTATTCAATAAATATTAACTTATCCCTGCTATATCCCAAGGCCTGTGCTTCACCACATCCTAATTGTGTGACTTTGGACAAGTCATCTATTTCTTTATCCATAAGTTGGGAATAATTGTGGGGTGACAGTGAGAAAGCCTACAGCAGTGTCTAGAACATGATTGGGCCCTCAATAAAGTTGATGTCTTTCTCCTCTTTAGATTCTTTGGTAATTGATATACTATTTATAACTTATCAGCCAAGATGGTCACTAAATTATAACATTCTCCAAAACCCAGCTTATAACCCTTGTTAATAATGTTCAGGCAGAAAAGAACCTAGAATTCATGGAGATATTCAAATTTAATATAATATTGAAGACTTAAAGAATGCCATAAACAAGCTGAAAAGACAAGCAGACTTAGAGAAAAAAATCTTTCAATTTATATAAAGACAAGAGGTTAATACCATATAGGAGCTCCTAGAACTCAGAAGACAAATAGCCAAACAGAAAAATAGGGAAGGACACTTCATAGTAGAAAAAGAGATGGCCAATAAATATATGAACAATCATAGTAGTAATTATGGAAATGTAAATTAAAACAATGGGAAACATTTTTTAGTCCATCCAATTGGGGACAAAAAAGGTAATGTCTGGTGTTGGCAAGAGTGTGGGGAGACAGATGCTCATGTGCTGGTGAGAGGATAAATTGGTAGAGCCCTTGCTGAGCAAAAATTGGCGGCATCTATCAAAATGTACATGTCCATTAAAGCCAACAACTCCACTTCTAGGTACCCATCAAAGATACATGTATGAGAATATTCACTGCAACATTGTTCGTAGTAGGAAAAAGTTAGAAATACTATAAATGGTCATCAAGAATCTTATGGTTTATCCATACCATGAAAAATTATGGAGCTAATATAAAGAATGAAACAGCTCCATAGGTGCTAGCACAGAAAGATCATTATAAGGAGACATAAGTGAGCAAAAGCAAATTGCAGAAACATCTCTATAGTGTGGTCATATTTATATTTTTAAAAAACAATATGTGTGGACATACATTTGATCGCAAACTGTTATGGATTGAATTGTGTCCCCCCCAAAAATGTGTGTCAATTTGGCTAGCCCATGATTCCCGGATTGTGTGATTGTCCACCATTTTGTCATCTGATGTGAATTTCCTATATGTTGTAAATCCTACCTCTATGATGTTAATGAGGTGGGATTAACGGGACTTATGTTAACGAGGCAGGACTCAATCTATAAGATTAGGTTGTGTCTTAAATCAATCTCTTTTGAGATATAAAAGAGAGAAGTAAGTAGAGAGACATGGGAATCTCATTACCACCAAGCAAGAAGAAACAGGACCTCACGTCTTTGGGACCCGGGGTGATTGTGCTGAAAAGCTCCTAGACCAGGGGAAGATTGATGACAAGGACCTTCCCCCAGAGCCAACAGAGAGAAAGCCTTCTCCTGGAGCTGGCACCCTGAATTCGAACTTCTAGCCTCCTGAACTGTGAGAGAATAAATTTCTCTTGGTAGTATTTCTGTTATGACAGCACTAGATAACTAAGACACAAGGAAAGATTATGAATGCATTGAGTGTAGTAAGAAAGACACACCACATGCCATTTACAGAGGTTTCCTTGGGGGTCGTCGTTTTGACATTGAGTCAGTCCAACTCATAGCAACCCCAAGTGACAGAGTAGAACTACCCCATGGTGTTTTCTTGGCTGTAATCTTTACAGAAGCAGATTGCCAGGTCTTTCTCCCATGGAGCTGTCAGGTAAGTTTGAACCACCAACCTTTTGGTTAGCAGCCAAGTATTTAACTGTTTTCACCACCAGGGCTCTTCTTTAGGGGAGGGAAGTGGAAATTGGACTCAGGGTGAGTATGAAAATGAGAAGAAATGAACCCTAACGTGATCAGGTTCACATTTTATTGCATGCTCTGCTATATCCTTCGAATTTCTTTAAATGAGCATGAATTATTTTAATTTGAAAAACAGTAAGAACTATTCTTCCAAACCCTTAGCAATGGTGCCCCTGGTCTGAGCGACCTCATCTTGCCTGGACCACTGCATGAACCTTCTAGTTAGTCTTTCTGATTGCACTCTTATCCCTGCAACAGATTGTCCGCACATAGTGATTTTTAAAACATGTTTATCAGACTACCCCCACCCCTGTGCCATCCAACTCAAAGTCCTTTTCCTGCCCTAAAAGGTCCTGCATATCAGGCTCCTACCCATTCCACTCTCATCCCTACCTCTCCCCTCCCTGGTCATGATACTTTGGCCGCAAGAGTGCTCTCTTTCTGTAGCTCC